CTGACAGCGGTGAGTACTCCGAGCGGCATGATCTGTGAGGGGTTATTGATGCCCCAAAGGCTGTCAAATGCACCAGCAACATTTAATCGCCTTATGTCGGGGCGGCACCCAAAGGCGCTCGGCCACCCAGAAGCTGAACCAGCAACTGGTTATGAGCACAGAGGCAACAATTTCCGTTTCCAGCGGCGCAAGGTGCTCCATCGTCAGTGATATATTCGACTGCTCGACGGCTACGAGCCACTCCGACAAAGCACGAGAATCCTTAACGTGAGGCAGTCGGTGCACAAAGTGCCCCAGGCTTTCGAGGCATTCCGCACAGCGGTGGGCGACCTCGGAGATATGTTTGGCAGAATGCCGATGACGACGGACCTTGCCCTTCAGCGCTCAAAGCGCATCGCGATTCACCGGACGGCGACCGACCAAGTCGTCATCGCCCGTTGCCGGCTCTTCTCGATGAGAAAGGTGGCGCCCGCTACCACGAAGAACGCCTTGTGGATCGACGGTTTTAACCCAATATCTTGTGAAGTGGCGGGGATACCCAAACTCCGAGTACTTGTGCGAGTTTGAGGTGCCACTTCGGCAAGACTGTTCAGACGTCGTGGACGTTTATGACCAGTAGGATCATGACGCTTCGCGTCGTCGTGCGCACCGCGCTTCGTATAGAAGCGCCTTCTTATTGAGCTCGAAGTCGAGCGCGCCTGGATGTATATCCGTCATTCTTGGACTCCTCCCGATTTAGCATTGACAGCGAGCAACACGTGTGACTGACTCGTGACGACTATAGAAACTCGCGGTACCGATCCATTGGGATCTCTTGTGGTTCCAAAAAGCGAGTTCACAGATTTTTTCTCTGGTCAAGCTCAGCTTGTGAGAGCCGCCCTGTGAGCTGCGTCCGATTGCTGCTCTTGTGCCATGTCGAGGCGATTGGTAATAATACCACTTCCCCCGGAAGCCGAATAGTTGGGGAATGGACACGATGTCCACAAGGTTCGAGCGGAGCACACGTCGCATCGTTGGCGCACTTCATCCATCTCGTCCTCCCATGCTGGGAAAGGAGTACCCGACTCGTTGTGACTTCCTCCAACTCCTCGACGAGATAATACGTCGCTCGGGGCGGACGCGGTGTGTTGCGCTCAGTTGCCGAGGGCTTGGGATGTGCTTCCCGCCAAGCTGCGGACATACTGTCCGGAGATGCATCTTGTGAAGAAGAAGAAGAAGAGTATTGCCCGCGGGCGTCCTCGGAGCCAGCTAGGCTGGGTGTTTCGCGTGTCGTAGACACAAGGATCATAGAGCGAAGAATGTTTAAATTTGTTCTTAAAGAACGTAATGGTGTCTCAGAAGCGCGAGCCTCGTATGAGGCAACCGTTAAATGTGAATTGAGGATATTCACAATTTTAATGGTGGAGGGTGTAACGGGGGTTACACGTATTCTTGTATAAAAGGGCGGGTCGCACAAGATGGTGCGGCCGTCCATAAGTGTGGATTACACAAATTGGTGTCATCACAGGGTGGTGTGGTTGCACCGCTACACTCGTACTGGGTCTGGGAAAAAACGTAAGGTCGGTGAACTAAGCTTAGCTTTCTCTAAGCAAGGAGCTACGATATCCCCGCTGCACCAGTAGCCTACGTGTCCAGCGGACTTTTTCTTTCTGTAGTATACTCAATCCAATGTACTAATCATGGTAGTACTTCTCACAAAGGTCCTTCTGATCGTTGTTCGAAGAGTAGAATAGTGTGTACGTACGCCTTAAAGAGGGCATGTGCCCGTCATGCTATCTCAAGTAAGCTGCTGTATAGCAACCCGTCAAACAACACAGATAAACAAATTCTGTAGCTGACCTGAAAAAAGATGATAGTTCATGCCAACTTTGAATAGTGTGGGCCACCCTATTATAGACCTGAGCGTTCTAAAGGTAGAATTTGTGGTTGTTGAGCTGAAAGTTGAACACGGCGTAGTTTACGACAGGTATGGAGCCAAATACCAAGGTGAGTACCGTTGTGTATGTTTTGCGCAAGTTTTTACTATTATCATCCTCATTTAGTATGCACTACACGACAGCGAGCAAATGCCTACTGCTTGGGCAGCTCGAGTGCGACTCACGCCTGAGCTGCTGCACAAGCTTCGTAAGAGACCCGATCAGATAAGGTTTAAGCTGAATGTTGCCGTTGGTGACGGAGCAGATCTACGACATGGTATCAACAGAAGAACTAGTGTGCTGACAGTCGGTATGGCTAGCGAAGGTGATTTAGTGGAGACGCCAGAGCAGTACGAGCTGTTGTCATTTGTTGAGGAGCCAAGCATCAATCACGCCTGTGCATTTAAGCGAGTTGATGACTTGGCTGGAAGCGGCTATAATATCTATAAAACCGGAGCAATTTATCAAAAGTTGCTTGTGCAACGCCTTTTGGACGAGACGGAGAAGGATCGAATCAAAGACAAGCACGCCAAATCTGTGCTCAAATCAAAGTCACGTACTTCGAGGCTGATCAGCTCGGAACCAATGAAGGCTATGAATAAACAACGCCTGACGAAAATGATGATTGCACAGACTCGTACAGCAGAGCTGCCAGAGTATGATCACAACCAGTAAGTTTTTATCTATTATATCGAAAGTAAAGGCTGAAATTGACTCATTTGTTCTGGCTCAGGACAAAGAAAATGGTATTAACTTCTGCTTTAACGAAAGAACAAGCCAGTGAAGCTGAAAAGCAAATGGATAAGGTTGGTGGGGGCCACGTGCCAACTAATTTTTGCACTGATGAGAAAAAGACCAAAACCTGTATTGCTGAGAAAAATATGGATCATGAAATCTTTGACAATCGAGAAAAAAATATTTCACCGTTTGCTGCTACGATTAACATATCTGCTGACACTCGTGATGCAAATTCACAAGCTTTTTTTTCATCCGAGTCGGATGGCGATGTCACTGGGGCAGCTACAGCAACGAAGAATACGCAAATTCCTGTCGCGGCAAGAATAAGCGAACAATGTGAAACGAGTGAATTAATTGTGAAAAGAAGTGGTCTGAGTGCGAAAAGTTTGGATTTTGATCCCACTGCACAATTGAATGAGGCAGTATGCGGGACAGAAGTAATTGCTTTGTCAGATAAGTATGAGGCTGTAAGTAATCCAGCAATGCCGATCTCGAGAAAGCGAAGACATAATGCGCAACACCCTCTTAAGTCATCAAGTTCTGGCATCGAAGTCAAGCGAGCACGCGCGCGTTCGACGCTTGTGTCGGATAGAGTGAAGCATGCATGTCTACCGGACATGTCTTGTTTTCCGCCTGCAGTTGTACAGATCTGTGAGCGTCTTATGAGATATCATGGTCGTTCAATCATTCTCGACGAGATTGACTACGATTCTATTATGGAAACGTATGAGCAATTTCAGCAAAGTTGGCAGCTGCTGGACAAGGTCTGCGATGGGAATGTCAGATGATGGTATTGATACCACTAATCTTTGCTTCGCATATACAATATAGGCTTACTCTATCGAAATTGTAAAGACAGAAGGTCTACATCTTCAACGTGAATTGGCGACATTTGTTCAAGAAACGAGAAATACGTCCAGTACCTGCACACAAAAAGAGGTTGGTCTTGATGACAATAGAAATCGTCCGATAGCTGATGTTGTTCCAGCAGGGTCTACTGGTAATTCGGGACGCCATGTCAAGCATAAAAAACATTCTGCACAGCATCCAGTTATCCATAAGCCGCTTCGACACGAAGCCTACACATCCATAATATAAATTTATAAGACGCCACTATATGTAGCGTACACAAGTACACAAATTTTGTAGCAACAATCTAGCTTCAGTTGTTGGTCGATATTATGCAGGGAGGAGATTCGCGCAGTCTTGCTGAACCGCCATTTATTGCGCGTGTAAGCGTCTCCATCAAAAGGTTTGTCTGACAAGGCATCATTTCATTTAAGGGGGATACGTAATTGCTTCCATGCGGACTTGTGTGCAGTTTTGACGTCATCTGTACAACTCCAGCTGCTCACTATGATTTGTGTGTCCAAATGTTAGGAAATGGCAGCACCTGCTAGACAAGAGCACAATTTACGTCTACGGTCGCTGGAGTGTGGCACTGGGTCTACTACTGCTCTATCTTGTCCGTGTTTTCTACCTTAATGCTTTCCATATCGTTACCTACGGCCTGGGCATTTACCTACTGAATCTGTTCATTGGATTCTTGTCGCCGCAAGTGGACGCGGAGATCGATGGTCCACTTCTACCGCACAAACAGAGCGAAGAGTTTCGCCCTTTCACGCGCCGAGTTCCCGAGTTTCACTTCTGGTACTCGACTTTTAAGGCCACAGTCGTGTCTCTGCTCATGACGCTGAGCAGTGCATTTGACGTGCCAGTATTCTGGCCCATACTGCTTATCTACTTTATCGTGCTTTTCGCACTCACTATGAAACGCCAGATTAAGCATATGTGGAAACACAACTATGTTCCATGGAACCACGGCAAGCAGGTCTACAAGGGCAAGAAGAACGCCAGTGCACTATAGCTATACCGTCTAGTGGTATTACTTGATAAATGAATAATTTTTAATAACAAGTAATACCCCCTCAATACTATTTATTATTATTTTCAATATGGTGCATTGGCGGCTGGCGTTTTTTCAACCACATGGGCGTCAGCGGAACCTTCTTCTGCATTTGCAGCAATCCAGACCACGCATCCAAAACAACTCCAAATTTTCTGTCGTAATTAGAACCAAGGATCCTCATGACAAGTACTCAAAGGTCCGGCTCGGGGTGCTCGGGATACCTCGTGCAATGAGCGTAGCACCGCATAACAATTCTAAACAGCAAAAGCGCAAGCTGGAGGTTGCATTGGATTCCAGGAAAAAGGTGAAGGTGTTCGCCGTCAATTTTAATATACTGTTACTGGTATGATATCGTTGCCTTGGTACTCTTAGGCTATGTACCAGATGATTAACGTACCAAACGTTATCACAGTAGCGCGAATTCTGGCCACGCCTTATTTAGCATTTACGATCATCGAAGGTGAATACGGCTTAGCCTTGGGCCGTACGTCAACTCTTTCACTTTGGTCGAAAGTATCAATTACATATATTTATTGCAGTGTTAGCAGTAGCTGGTGTGTCCGACTGGCTGGATGGCTTCATCGCAAGAGCGTTTCATCAAGAGTCTATCGTCGGCTCTTTTCTTGATCCTTTTGCAGATAAACTTTTGATCGGTAGTTTGTCGCTTAGTATGATGTGGACAGGGCTGCTACCGACTCCCTTAGCGACACTAATTTTGGGGCGAGACTTCATGCTGATGAGCGGCACATTTTACTTTCGGCTCAAAACCAAGAACCAGTCATCGGCGTTTTTTGATACCTCGGACAGTGTTACATTTCAGGTTAAACCATCGATGCTTAGCAAGATTAACACGGCGCTTCAGCTGTCAGTCTGTGGACTTGCACTGACCAAAGAAGCATGGCAACTTCCTCCAGAGCCGATACTCAATCTGCTTTTGTAAGTCCAGAGCATCCATGGTTTGCTTCAGAAGTATACGGCTACATCTTTCGAACTCATGCCATTTATATATTGTAGTGGTGTTGTTGGAACAACCACCTTTCTTTCCGGATTCGAGTATTTGTACGGATATCTGACGATGACCGGAGCATTAAAGCCAATCTCAAGAGTAGATTTTCGCAACGTGGTTGAGCGAACGGAGGCAGTTGTGAAACGCACCGAGGAAGTGGTCAAGTCACCTCTCCGAAAAGCAGTCCAGCGCACGAAGGGGCGACTCAGACGATAGCCGATTTTAGTTCGGGTCTGTCAAAACAGGTGCTAGCTTATTATCGCACTTTTACTTCATGTATTGGATACATCGGTGTACGTTCGTTTATACACTTAATTAAATTACTCTTTCGATTCGCGCATTTGAAGCAAAACCATTTAGTTTTGCTAGACATCAGATGATGAGTTCTCGAAACAACTAGCTGATTGTTAACATTTATACTTGGCGAATGGGAATACAAAACATATCGTGACGCACGCACACATAACACATTTACACTTTTGTGCAAAGCTCAAAGATTCCAACGTAAGTAACCGTTAGCCTCACGTCATGCATTAATGTAGCTTAGATATTAAACAAAGTAATACAGATACATCCGATCTAACCTGTATTAGTCTCGATTCTATAATAAATGCAACCCTTGAACTTGCAGTTGGTGACTTTCGACTTCTGTAGCGTAGTCACACGAAATCTCGAAGTAGTGTCTATTACACAAAATGGTGTGACCACACAAAGCTGTTGCTGAACATTTAATGAGTTTTTAGTATATAGATAGGAGAATCTATAGATTTAGAATAGGCGGCTTTGCCGCAGGGTTAATATTTAAAACCGACGACACATTAGCCTCGGGTTAATGTTGTAGTTACTCTTGAAAAAAGCGGATATCGATCCGCTACACTCGTACTAGTTCTAAGTAGAACGAAGGTCACCGACCTTCACCAATCTTCCTCTAAGCGCAAGTTAGGTCACCGACCTTTCGTTCTATACGTAGATCAAGAACGAAGTTAGCGGATCGCAATCCGCTTACTCCAAGAGTAATTATTGCCTTAACCCAAGGCGAATTACTCTTCCGCTTGAAAATCAAACTGACTTTTATTTATTTTATCCGCGGCAAAGCCGCCTAATTTTAAATGTATAGATTTCCTAAATATCTCAATACATGTATAAGTACTGGCTATACCGTATTCTTGTTCGGGCCAGTCACACCATGCCCATCTCATGTGACACACACCCCTGCTACCAGGGTACGTGTAACCCCGTTACATAATAAATATAGTAGAGCCTACTTAATTCGCATTCCTACCGGCAGTCCTGCCACGTAGTGGCTTCCTGTTACGGTGTAATAACACCATTGTGAGATTACACAACCACACATGTGTACGGTCACAACATCTTGTGTGACCCGCCCTTTCATACTACACTGTCCCGCATCAAAAATGTGAATATCCACGAGTCACATTTAGCTGTCGCCTCATACGAGGCTAGCGTGTCTGAAACACCGTGACCTTTTTAAGAACATCCTTGGATATTCCACGCTCAATGATCTCAATGAGCTATGCGTCTAGATAAAAAAACACCCAGTCTAGCTGGTTTCGATAGCGCCTGCGGGCAGAGCCCTTCTTCTTCTGCACGGGGCGCATCTCCGGACAGTACGTCCGCGGCTTCACGGGAGGCACAACCCAAACCCTCGGCAACCGAGCGCCACACACCGCGCCGCCCGGCCGGCGAGTTTCCTCGTCGAGAACTCGGAGCAAGTCGACTACGAGTCGGATACTTCTTTCCCAACATGGGAAGACGAAGATGAGGTGCGGTAACGGCGCGACGCGAGCCCGGCTCATACCGTGTCCATTCCCCGACCTCTCGACTTCCGGGGAAAGTGGTATTGTTACCCTTGTCGCAATGAATTGGCATCGCGGGGTTAGATGCACTGCGTGACGCTATCACTATGCGGGACAGTGAATCTTGCTGTTGTGTAAGAAGAAAACGCCAATATCCTATGGAAGGAGTGACCGGGGTAGTTTTGGGGGGTTCATGTGTCCCACGTTACCCTAGACAAAAGTCCTCGTTGTTATTGAATAGTAGACCTTAGGGTGTGTGGTATCGAAGAATTTATAATTGCCCAAATGGTACGGTCAGTACCGGGGGAGCTGAGCTCTTTATCCGTCAAAATCGAGCTCATTAGTACCGACATTCGCATGCAATATATATCAAGGATCTTGAGGATCCTCCTCACGTTTATGTCGAAGAGTTGCAATAAAAGTCGTCTATATGCTGGGAATCGCGTCATACCGTTGAAAGTTTTTATCTTCTTTGCCTTTCAGGCTTACAGACAGTTCCAAGTTCTACGAAGAAGCATTCAAAGCTCACAAATTGCTTTTGCTTCTTATACAAAGAAAGGAACGGATGGCACCTAATGTTTATCGCTCCTGGATGAAGTGTTTATGGTGTCCTAACTGATGCAGACTTGTAAAGTCACTGCTTTCTCCGTGGAAGAGCACTGTTGGCTGATATTTGTATGTGGTCTGCTATGAGTCACGTGCTAATAATGTATGTAATTCGTCTCTAATCGTGATCATTCTACCGTATAGTTCTTACACGCAGCTAAATTACTTAATGGGGCGATTCGTTAAAATTTTGAGATCAAATTTTATCTAAATGCGGACAAAATTGAACGATAATGCATAACCTAAAGTTTGGCCTATGCGTTAGTCTCATTAATCTCCATGCGCCTAAGATTGCGAAGATATTTCTCTGACACTCCACCCGTTTTCAATTTTTGCAGTGTGTCAATTCTCACCTTTTCAGCCAAAATGCTATCTTTCATTGCCTTCTTTTCAATTAACTTGGCGTCATTTTGCTCAAACAGTCTATCTTTTATTCGGCGCTGATTATTGGCCTCAATTTGCTGAAGCAGCAAAGTGTTATGCATCACATTTCGTGCATTTATCGCAATTTCGGCAGCTTTAAGTCGCTGATATTCGCTTTCAGCTTGCTGTTGTCCAATAAGGTCGGTGTTTGCATCCAGAGCTCGCATTCGTTTAGATTGTTCAATATGAAAAATTTCTTGCTTTTTGCGATCTTGCATAATGGACTGCAATAACATTTGTTTCTTTTCTTTGTCTTGTTCTTTCTTCAATCTTGCCTTCTTTTCGGTCTCTTCATAGCTTTTTTTGGACCGAATTTCATCTTGAAGAGCTTCTTTGTCTTGTGCCTTTTCTTGTTGAGCGCGAAGTTTGGCTATACGAAGCTCTTTCAGCTTGCGGATCCGCGCATTTTCATTAAGTTTTGCTTCCTCCTCAAGTACCTTATTACGCAAATATGCAGCAGCAGCGATTTCCTCCTTCTTATCTCGTATTAACATCTGTTCCTTCATATCTTTGATGCGCTCATTCGTCTCAGTCACTTGACGCATCATCTCCATTTGCTTTTCACGATGCTGCTCTGTTTTTTTTCGCTCTTCAACTTCATACTGTTTGTAGAGATCAAGAATCTTACGCGACTCAATATCCTTAGCCTCTTCGTCACGAATTAATTGTCTTTGTCGCTCCGCAATCTGCACCTCAAGCATCTGTCGCGCTTCCATTCGTTTTGCGAAAGCAATTGACTCATCATCTTTTCGCTTTTGATTGTTGCAACGACGATCACGCTCCATGATGCTGTCGTGGACATTGTCGTATCGTGTTTCAACTATTTTTCGTTCTCGTTGATGCTCTTTAAGCGAATCGCAGAGTTGATAGCCGATGGCAGCCACGGACAGCGAATTAATCTTGCGCAGTGACTCGAGATGCTGGTTGTTCACCATTTCATTGCCACTAAGCAAAGCCTGGCGCTCGGCATCCAATTCCATTTCCATTGCCGACTGCTCGCGTCTTGCTCGCACTTCAGCCTCTTTTTCCATCATACGGCGCTTACGCTCCATTGATTCATGCCTCGCAACCGCTTGCTGCGTCTCGCGTTCTAACTTGATGTGCTCGATCGCTGTTTCTGTCAAAATCATCGAGCGTTCTTTAATCCGCGCAAGGTCGGTTTTCGATAAAATGTGCAATACGCCTGCAATATCTTTCCCAGCCTGCCGAGTCGCCGACGATGAATGCTGTGTATGTGGCGTCTTAAGAGGCATGAGTACAACCGACCTGTGAATACTAAATAGGCAATCATGGCACTCATACCAACGGCGATAACGGTGTATTCTTGGAATTCCGTACTTATCGAAAGCTTGCGATATGCTCATCTGAAAACCAGCCAATTGGACGCCATGATAAGCAAGCGGAAGCGCGACGCTTTCTCAACGCATGAGAAACTGGTGCATAAGAGCTGTACGCTGCTGCAGCGCGAGGCAAAAAAGGTGCGCACGTTAATGATGCGCAGGATGTTGCAGCAGCTGAAGCAGCTGAAACAGCAGCATGTGGAGCCGATAGAGGATGCGGTAAAGCAACAAAAGCGCGAATGCAAATTACGTCACAGTATTGAGCGGCTTGAACGCGAGCACCTGACACTTAAAATGATGGACCTCGCTAAGTTTGTGACTAAGGCCAAGCTGCAGACTGGGCTTGTCAAGCCGCAGCCTCCAAGAATCGAGCATGGAAGTGAATTGCTGGAGGATGACAGCAACGAGGAGAGCATTAGACAGAATATGCAGGTCGTGAACAAGAATATTAAAGATATAGAAGTGAATATGGTGAAAGGTGCTGATCACGTGAAGATACCGTCAGATAGGGAGGAGAAGCTGACAGATGGCAAGTTGGATACAGAATTGGAAAAAAAGCTGATTGAACGTTTGCTGGCGCACAAAAAGATTATGCCACTTCTTGACGCAATCAGAAAGCTGGTGGAAAAAAGTGAAAAAGATGCTGACAAGAAGCGGCGTGCGCAAGAGAAGCGGGCGCTGAAGCGCGGTCGGCACGAGTCATTGGTTGGGAATACAGGACGTAGTGGTGCAGTCCCGACTTCTTTATTCTTAGGCTCTCTGTCAGGACGTGGAGAGATGGACGCTAGCGAAGAAATGAGCGCGGATGGTTATGGAGCAATGGCTAGCGCGGACGATGACATTGCTGAGTTTTTAGGTGAGAAGAAAAAGAAGAAGAATCGACCTGGTCAGACAGCGCGTCGTATGAAAGCACTTCGCAAAGAGGAGGCACAAAAACGCAAAGAGAACCGCGAAAAGGGTATACATGTGCCTTACGAAGATAAATCTGTGCTAAGTGGACAATACGGATTATCAGAGCGACCAAAGAAAGCCAAGCAGAAGTCAAAGCTGGACAAGAAAAACAAAGCTGTGTCTAATAGGGTAAAACTTCGTGCAGGTTTGAAAGATGTAGAGCCGCAAAGTCAGCGCCTCATCTCTGCGTCTTCTGTTGATGTAGCACACCCGTCGTGGCTCGCAAAGCAGATGCAGAAAGAAAAAGAGAAGATTAGTTTTACTGCTTTTACTGGCAAGAAGATCACATTTTAACCTGCTACATTCAAAGGATAACCTGAGTATGATGTACCTTTTTTTGAGAGCTTTTCAATTTACAATCATTTAATTGCGTAACATCTTAGCAATCTGATGAGCTAAACTATTGTCTGTGGGAGCACACTGCCGACGTAGCTTTGGAATTTCGCTGCTTATGATATTATCCAGCGCCCCAATCTCAGAGCTCTTCAGCTTAGGCAATTTGTTGAAGCCAAGCGTGTGAATTGCCACCTGCAGAGACGGTAGCACACGCTTCCATAAAGAAAGCACGTACTCGTCTCCATCAGCCAATTGACGACCATATCGACGACGGAATAGTTCACTTAATGACTCTTCAAGTAGAAGATTCCGCTCAAGCTGAGCCATGACATTCGAGTTGTGCCACACTGCGCCAGCTGATGCCAGCACACTTAGAATCGACAGTCCTGCTGTAGCTTCAATAGCGACGCCAGTAAACAAAGCTGAGGCCGCAAGGCCATTGCCTCCCACGAACGTAGCAGCCACTAAAGCTGAGCGGCTCCACTTCTCACTGGCATAACGTACTCGTAAATCTTCGAAGACCTCAGCATGCATTTTTAACAGCCGAGATGAATCATATAGATTAGTAATGAGATTATCCACTCGGCGCTCTGGGGCACGCTGAACCTCATTTACAACTTCCTCACGCATCGCATCTAAGTCCTTCATCGACGCGCCCAGACCTTCTGCAGCCTGCATCTGATTGTCATTGGTGGGTATACACATCGTATAGATGCGCGGTAGATCCTTTAACGGAATGACCTTGCTCAAATTCCAACAGAGCGAGCCATAAGCACGCGCAAAGTCGTGGATCTTGCGAAATTGATCTACCTTGTTCAGCACAAGGTGTAGCTTATGGTCCATACCGATCAGCGAACGGGTCAAGATCGAAAGCGTTTCACCTGTTGTACCAGGTTTGTCGGGGTCAAAAAAGAGCAGAATCACATCGGCGCGCTCAGCGTACCAGCGTACGACCTCCGGAAAGTCGTATCCTCTGTCTGAAACTCGACCCTTTGGGTTGTTGCTCTGTTGCTGTTGATTTGACAAGCGATTGCTATTTGCATCATAGCCGACTTGCAATTGGTGTGGTAGAGTTTGCGGCGAATCAATCATTCCAGGGCTGTCTACAAGCATATAATTGGCCTGTATCCCTTTGCGCACCTTCAACTGTGTGCGCTGAATTAGCGCTGGTCCATAAATACGCAACCCTGAAAACCCTAGATCTGGATCGCCTACGAGCGCCGGGCCGTCTTGGTCCAGATCTGCGTTACCCGGCGCGATAATGGTGAACCCGTCATCAGTGGGGGCCACACCAGTGGACTGAACGTCTCGTTGCAGCAGGTAGTTGATGAAAGATGATTTTCCAGATGAGTGGTTGCCCAATAAAAACACAAAGGGCAGTGATGGTAGCTTCTCTTCGCGATGCTTTCGATCCAATGGACCCAGAAGCTTCTCGTTCAATGGCAGCAACACTTTTGTCTCCAGGCGACTGGTTTGATGCATGAGGCGAATCCACTTCTCGTCATCGATCGATCGATCCGTATCGATAGTCTTTGATACGGCAAGGGATGAAAGCTGGCGGGTGAGCAATAGCGGCCGGCTTAGAGAGGCGCGACGCAGCATGGAAAATACGTGTAGATTTGTGTTCTCTGGCTGATAGAAATCGGTGCAATTAGGATTTAGAGCTTAAAGTACATTAAGTGACACACTATGTTGGAAAAAGTTTACATCGCGTTTTATGTTCGTGCCACCGCCACAAGTATCGACCGTGTGTCATAAACCTGCAACATGCTTAAGTGTGGTGTGTTGGTGTCGAGCGCCAAAATTCATTTTTGATTAATTTTGCTCGATCATTGTAGGGCCAAAAATTCAGTTTAGGCTATTTTGAGCTCGATTTTGGTACGAACGAACGTATGTCTAAAACATGTCTAAGCGACACACTCCTGCAACATCACCTCCTAACAAACATTCTTACTGAGCAATCATCATGCACAAACTTGCTGTGCTTGTCAATCGGCAAAGCATTCATACATCTATCGTATCAAATTAAGAGATTTACCCTGCAGCGGGGCTGCCGTAGCTCTTTCGCTTAGAGGAAGCTTGGTTAAGCTCTACACTCGCCAAGGCTAATGAACTCTTTCGTTTGAAATGTAAACTGTATTTCTCGGTTTGATGCCGCCATCTATCTAAATCCATAGGTTTTCCTATTAATATAGAGAAGCCTAATTAAATGACTTGTATCCACACCATCTTGTGTAACCCACATCATTGCGCGATCACACCATCTTATGTGAACCACAATCTTCATACTAGGGCACATGAAACCCCGTTATACTCTCCCCGATCAAAATTGTGAGCACCTACAGTACATTTAACTGTCGCCTCGAACGAGGGTCGCGTGTCTTAGGCACCACGACACCACGATGACCTTCTTCACGAATTCACTGCTCAATGAGCCCTGTGTCGGGGACACGGAAGACACCCAGCTCCGCTGGCTTTAAGAACGCCTGCGGGCAGAGCTTTCTTCGTCTCCTGCAACTTCGGACTTCAAGGAAAGCGCAACCCAAGCTTTCGGTAGCCGAGTACCCATTGTCAGCGACAAGGTCGCACGACCAAGAACACAGACGCGATGTCTACTTCCGACCGCGCACCGCGCCCGCCACGCGCGATGAATTACATCGTTGAGGATTCAAAGGAAGTCGAGATACTTCTTTCCCAGGATGAAAAGAAGAGGCGCGACGTGAGCCCTGCTCGAACCTTGCGGACGCCGTGTCCTTTTTCCGAATTTTTCAACTTCCGGGGGAAGTGGTGTCATTACCAATGACCTCGACGAGGCACAGAAGCAGCAGCTGAATGCTGTCCGCAGGGCGACTCTCATGCGCGCGCATCCACGGTCGGTCCTCGACCCTCGTGTGTAATACGGCTTCCGCTCGGCGGATCCAGCTGCAGAAGCAAAGGGGGCGATCTCTCGAACGTTAGGCGTCTACATGGTCGGGCCCCGGCCCCTACACATGCTTAGCATGTCAAACGAAAAGCACAAAATATTCAGATGGATATGTACTGCACTCGACTTCGTGCTCAAAGAGAAAGCGCTTCTGTACCCGCGATGCGGACGAATCCTGTGATGCTCGACTCTGGCGAAGCCGCTGCAGATGACGAAAATTTTTTTTTAGTGATGGGTGCAGCGGCACCGGAAATTACCTCGCTGTACAATTTACAGTTGAGCCACAAAGAGGTGGACGCGTGCGTGGAACGCCATCTTCGGTTTGAGTTTGCCAAACTCAAGGCGCGTCGTCGACTTCCTTGGATTGTCGATTGGGCTGAACCCTCACGTTCCCACGAGCTCTGTGGTCTCTCACACGGGTGAGGCTGCGACCGCAACAACTCAGAGCCATAGCTTGATTTCAGCTCATGGCCTTCGCTAATGCCGAGAAGCACGGGTTGTACGACGACGCGGAACGTCATGATTCCTCTGATGATCAGTGTCCACGACGTCTGTGCAGTCTTGCCGAAGCGGCATTTCAATCTCCCACGAGCTGTCGAAGTGGGGGTTTACCCACCACTTCACAAGAAACAGGGTTTGACCCTGGCGACGACTTCGACCCACAAGATATTCCTCGTGATTCTGGGCACCACCTTTCTCGTCGAGAAGAGTCTGCGGTGGGCGATATCGACTGGATTGATCGCCGTCCGGTGGCTCGCGATGCTCGCTGAACTCTTGAGGACGAGGTTCGTCGCGATCGGGACTCCGCTGAGCATCATGTTGGGATAGCATACCGCTGCGCCGGAGACCTAGAGACCTTGAAACACGTTGTGCACCGGCTACCTCACGTTGAGGACTATTGCGCTCTGCCAGAGCGGCTTCTAGCCGAGCTCCGTCGAGCAGACGAATGCGTCGCTTTGTGCGACGGTGAAGTGACTGGTGCCGTTAAAGATGAAGGTCGTCGCACTCCGTGCTCAAAACCTGATCTGGTTCAACTTCTGGGTTAATCAAGCATCCGTGGGTGCCGCTCCGGTGCCTACGCTGCCGCGCGCATTCGTGCCGATCCCGATACGGCTTAAGCAAACCCACATATAACAACAGATGGGTGCGCAAACTGTTTGGAAAGATTTGCGTAAACACAAGGCCCCGTTTGGACACAGCCCTGAAAGGTCCGATAAATCGTGAACGGAGCTTCGGCTCAAACGCAGCAGAAATTTAAAGGGTAGGAAGATCTTAGTATTCAATAAAACTATTTATCCGACCTCAAAGTTTCTAACATCACCTCCACCTTTTCCGTCTGCATGTTCCTTCTGCATGTCTTGGATTGCAGCCACCGCGTCGCGGATGTGTCGAAAGCCACATAATCTGGTAGACAGAAAATCATCGACTTCATCATGAACAGTGAGAGGGCTGACATCAGCTAGTCGCTCGGTTATTTCTCCCCCACCAAGCCCTGAACCATGATGGCGGCGTCAGCAGGGCGCGAGGATGAACAAGCCCGTTCACATAGAACGGCCTGTAGCCGGTAGACGAATGCACTGCATTGTCCAGAGCAAACTATTCAAGTGGCAGCATGGAGTTCCAGCGCCTCAAAGTCTTAGCGAAGACGCTGCGAACGTCGGCCTCGACGACGCGATTCACGCGCTTAGTTGGACGATCGGTTGTGGGTGGTCCGCTGTTTACGTATCCAAGAGGTTGTCCGGCTTCTTGAAGATTGTCGATTTCCCAGTAAAGCGCGGGGTCTGTCAGCGACAATTGACTCCGGGGTTCCGTGCTGTCGAAAGAAACGATTCACAAACAGCGTCGCTGTTCCGACACCTTTGATGGCGTTCGACACCGCCGATACTAATCATTTTGCTCAAACGGTCGACGAAGACCACGACACCCGCGTTGCTCGTCGAGTCCTTCGGCAGTCCGAACACAAAGTTCAAACTCATAGACTGCCAACACCCGGAGAATACCGGCAAACTAGCTAGCGACCCCTGCCACATTCGGAGAGAGTTCACCCTTTGAAGCGTCTCACACGTTCTTACATCTGTGCTTGTCCATTTGTACGGTTTGGGCCACCAGTGGTGGCAACTCACGGAGCTGTACGTCTTCTCACGACCAAGATGAACACTTAGTGGAGTGTCGTTGGCCTCATAGAGAATACGGTACTTCACATCCTCTTCGCGATGAACTACAATCCGTGGCGTTTTCGTCGAGTCGGTATTATAATACAGCAATCCATTATTCTATAAGTATCGGTGCAACCGTGCACGCACTTGCGCCGAGAATTTCTTGTCCGAGTTTCCAAAGTACTTGCCACCGAGAGCTTGTAGCAGCGTTATGCACATATCATCACCCGCGTAAGCGGAGCGTATCAAATACGTCACGGACGACGTCACCGTCAAGACATGAGCAAGCTCATAATCTGGTCTGTGTGACACCTCATCTGCCAAAGCATTCTGCTCTCCTGGCTTATACTTCACCTTCGAAGTTATATTCTGCGAGGAAAGTCACCTGGCCATCCTATGCAAGAGGAGAGACGACTGAGTCGCAGTGCGTAGTGAGGCATGATCTGTGAAGATCACGAATGGCTTGGAGTCAAACAGGTGAACCCTGAACATGACAAGTGCATCATTTATCGCAAGTAATAACTGCCGTTATCTGGGGTTTTCTTCTCTGTAGCATTGAGCTGGCGAGAATCGGACGCGATCATCCCTTGGCGTCTGCTTGCAGCAGTGCATAGCCGATGGAAACGTCCGAAGTATCACAGACAACACTGAAAGAACGATCGGGGTCTCAGTATCGGTGCATGAATGAGGCTGTCTTTGACACCGACAAAAGCCTCCCGATGTTCGGTGTCCCAACAACATTCCTAATCCTTCTTAAGGAGATTCGACGATGGTCGTGCTATTTCCGCATAATTTGCGCTATACTTTGCTAAGTAGTTGGCGATGGCATGCCACTTTCGCGAGTCCTTTTGGTTCTTTAAACCCGGCCAGTCCACAATGGCCTTGACCTTAGCGGGATTCGCTCGAAGGCCACGCTTCCCGATGAAGTTCCATGAGAAGGGGATTTATTTCGCGCCGAAGATGCACCTGTCTGAATTAGCGTACAGCTTATTCGTGCGCATGCACTCGAGCACCGCTCTCAAATGGACGATGTAGTTTTCTCCATCTGTTCTTCTGTGCCCCGCACGACTGTGGACAAAGATGTCGCCGAAGTATGTCTGTGCGTACGCCCAGTGGGGCCTGAACAACTGCGTCACAAGACGATTAAATGTTGCTGGTGCATTGGCAGCTTTTGGGGCATCAATAACCCCTCACAGATCATGCCGCTCGGAGTACTCACCGCTGTCAGCGGAATATCACTTGCTCTCATGAGCAATTGGTGATAACCATTGACCAAGTCGAGTGCGCTGTAATTTGTACAACCAACCATAATGTTCTGGAGAACGTTTTTACTAGGAACCGGCGTATGTGCCGGAATGGTGGCAGCGTTTGGCATATTATAAGCGTAAAGGGTACGCCACATG